TAAGAATTCCCCTTGTTTTATGCAGCACAGGAATACTTCCATTTAGTAATTTGTCGGGTCACATATCAAATTCTTCAAAGTTGTTCAGTATAGTGCACAAAAATTTCTATCTGTGTCAAGAATGGTTGAAAATAGAGTAGAAATTATCTGAAATATTCCATGTAATTTGTTTTCTTTAATCACTATCCTGTTTATATCCCACAAATACTTGCTAAAAAAAGTGACTTTGGGTACATTTTTCTTAGAATCATAGAGCTGGAAGAGACCTCAGGAGGTCATCAACCCAGCCAAAGCTTTGTCAAGCCAAGACTTAAAAACCTCTAGGGATGGAGATTCCATCACCTCCCTAGGTAACCCATTCTAGTACTTCAGTACCCTCTTGGTTAAATAGTTTTTCTTAATATCCAACCTAGACCTCCCCCACTGTAACTTGAGACCATTGCTTCTTGTTCTGCCATCTGTCACTACTGTGAACAGCCTTTCTCCATCCTCTTTGGAACCTCCTTTTAGGAAGTTGAAGGCTGCTATCAAATCCCCCTCCCCCCCCTTCTCTTCTGCAGACTAAACAAACCCAAATCCCTCAGTCTCTCCTCGTAGGTCATGCGCTACAGCCCCCTAATCATTTTGGTTGCCCTCCACTGGACCCCCTCCAATGCATCCACATCCTTTCTATAGTGGGGGACCCAGAACTGGACACAACACTCCAGGTGTGGCCTCACCAGAGCCAAATAAAGGGTAATGATTACTTCTCTAGATCTGCTAGCAATGCTCCTCTTAATGCAACTTAATATGCCATTAGCCTTTTTGGCTACAAGGGCACACTGTTGACTCATCTCCAGCTTCTCATCCACTGTAATCCCGAGGTCCTTTTCTGCAGAACTGCTACTTAGCCTGTCAGTCCCCAGCCTGTAACAGTGCTTGGGATTCTTCACTTGGACTCTACACTTGTCCTTGTTGAACCTCCTCAGATTTCTTGTGGCCCAATCCTCTAATCTGTCTAGGTCACTCTGGATCCATCCCTGCTCTCCAGCGTATCTATCTCTCCCCCAGCTTAGTGTCATCTGCAAATTTGTTGAGGGTGCAATCCATCCCCTCATCCAGGTCATTAATAAAGATGTTGAACAAAACCAGCCCTAGAACAAAACCAGCCCTAGAACTGATTTTTGGGGCACTCTGCTTGAAACCAACCACAAACCTGACATCGAGCCATGGACCTGTTGGGCACAATAACCTAGCCAGCTTTCTATCCATTTTACAGTCCATTTATCCAATCCATATTCTCATAACTTGCTGGCAAGAATATTATGGGAGACTGTAGCCAGAGTTTTGTTAGTCAAGATATATCACATCCACTGACTTTCCCATATCCACATAGCCAGTTACTTCATCATAGAAGCTAATCAGATTGGTCAGGCACAACTTGCCCTTCATGAATCCATATTGACTATTCCTGATCACTTTCCTCTCTTCCAAGTGCTTCAAAATGGATCCCCTCCATGATTTTTCCAGGGACTGAGGTTAGGCTGACTGGTCTATAGTTCTCTGGATTGTCCTCCTATTTTCTAAAGATGGGCACTACATTTGCCTTTCCAGTCATCCGGGATCTCGCCCGATCTCCACAGTTTTTCAAAGATAATGACCCAGAGCTCTGCAATGACATTTGCCAACTCCCTCTGAACTCTCGGATGCATTAAATCTGGACCCATGGATTTGTGTATGTTTAGCTTTCCTAAATTATTCCTAACCTGTCTTTTCCCCACCGAGGGCTGCCCACCTCCTTCCTGTACTGCGTTGCCTAGTGCAGTAGTCTGATGGTACGTCTAGACTACATGCCTCTGGCGACAGAGGCATGTAGATTAGGCTACCCGACAGAGTAAAATGAAGCGGCGATTTAAATAATCGCCGCTTCATTTACATTTACATGGCTGCCGCGTTGAGCCGACAAACAGCTGATCAGCTGTTTGTCGGCTCGCACGCTAGTCTGGACCTTCCCCCTGTCGACATCAAAGCCCTTTGTCGGCAGCCCCGGTAAACCTCTCGCGCTGAGCCGACAAACAGCTGATCAGCTGTTTGTCGGCTCAACGCGGCAGCCATGTAAATGTAAATGAAGCGGCGATTATTTAAATCGACGCTTCATTTTACTCTGTCGGGTAGCCTAATCTACATGCCTCTGTCGCCAGAGGCATGTAGTCTAGACGTACCCTGAGAGTTGACCTTGTCTGTGAAGGCAGAGTCAAAGATAGCATTGAGTACTTCATCTTGTCACTAGGTTACATCCCTCATTCAGTAAGGGCCCCACACCCTCTCTGATCACCCTCTAATGCTAACATGCCTGTAGAAACCTTTGTTGTTACCTTTCACATCCCTTTCTAGCCGCAATTCCAATTGCGCTTTTGCCTTCCTGATAACTCCCCTACATTCTCAAGCAATATATTTATTGCTCCTTAGTCATCTCTGCAAGTTTCCACTTCTTGTAAGCTTCCTTTTTGTGTTTAAGCTCACCAAGGATTTCCCCTGTAAGTCAGTCTGGTCGCCTTCCATATTTGCTTTTCTTACTGCACATCGGGATGGTTTCTTCCTATGCCTTTAAGGCTTCTTTAAAATACTGCCAGCTCTCCTAGACGCCTTTCCCCTTCATGTTAGCATCCCAGGGAATCCTGCCCATGAGTTCTCTGAGGGAATCAAAGTCTGCTCTTCTGAGTCCAAGGTATGTATTTTGCCACTCTCCTTTCTTTCTTTGGTCAGGATCCTGAAATCTATTATCTCATGATCACTGCTTCCCAGGTTGTCACCCACCTCTACTTCCTCTTTCTTCAATTACAGATGGGTACAAAGAAAACATTGATTTAACCCTAGATTCTGCCATGTAATTTTGACTTAATAGATATTTTCTTTTCACAGTTTAAAGGATTTGATCCCAACGAACTGTGTGTAGCTACCTTACTCTTCGAGGGTGACAGAGAGAAGGTTCTTCAGCATGAAAAGCAAGTTTATGATATCGCTGCCAAATTTGGGTATGACTTTCAAAGAATTTTATTTCTGCTATGGAGTGCATCTGTTTAAAATTACCTGGTAAAAATTAGGTTACTGCATTTTTAAGACACGACTCGCATAAAAATTTCAATGTTATATCCTTAAACCATTTTGTAAAGCTAAAATTAAAATATTTACAATTAAATGTTCCCTTTTATAAATATAACTTTAGTTAATAGCAATTTAATTTCTGATTATTATTTTAATGCAATTTAGATATACAGTTTACTATGGCATCTGAAGAAATATAGCATCTGAAATTTTGTTAAAGCTTTATTTTATGCTAGTCATACTATTCAGACTTGTAGACCTGGAAGCAGGATGCTGTTTTGTGACACTAGACTAATGGACTTTCTAAAGCACAGAGGGAGACAAAATGGTACAGTTAATATTTGGTGATATTGAATAAAGCATAAATAAATAAATAAATTCTTTTTAAGGGGAAATTGTGTTTAATCAACAAACTTGATGAATTAGCAGCAACTCACCTCTTGTCACTGATTGTGTTGTGCTGTAACAAAGGGACAGAAAACATTTCACTTCAGTAACAGTCTGAGTAATGATAGGGTGGTTTCTTTCCATCTGCTTTGATTGATTACAAGACAGGTCAATGAAAACCATGGTGAAAATGTCATTTGTCAGGACTCCATTTTTATTTCCTTTTAAAACAAACTCTTTGCTGTTAATTATCTACTCTGCTTATTAACATTTTAATTCTACTTCTCAGTTGTACTTTTGTACGTTTTTGTATTAAGCTTTCAGTGCTGTGCTTTATACATTCATATTAAGCTTTTCTGTGCTTCTAGATTGCTTTTTCAAACTCAATGTAAACTAAATTTTCCTTAGGTGGTTTGGAAAAGTATGTTTAAAATAATTTGGCATCCTATGGTCCCTCTTGAATATATAAAATTGATAATTTTTTTTAGTTGAGTAAACATCAACTTTTTTCTGCTGCATGTAAAAATACCCATTAAGAACATAAGGTTGCAAAGACAAGTACTCAGAAGTTAGCAGATGTCAGAATTAAAGCTACTAATGCAATCCTGAATCATCCCCCTCTGTGTATATTATAACAATTTAATTACATTATGATATACTACTTTTCCACTGGACCCTTGCAATGTGCACTGAAAACAATGTCTTATACATGGAAAGTTAGGCGACCTTATCTATAGGTAGAGCTACCAGTTCTGGATGTCGTAATGAAAGTTTGCCTTTAATTTTGATTGATTTAAGCTTCTAGCTCCATGTTTATTTGTAAATTGCTTTTATTTTTATCCCTTTAATTGGGGATTTCTTTTCTAGACCAAAATCCTGAGGATTCATGCAGCTGGCTCTTTAATATGATGTCCTTTGTGACAGCTATAAGAGTCAAGCCAACAAAAATAGGACCTCTTTCAGCAGCGATCCTAAATTTGTGGGTTTGTGTTGTTGCTGAGCAATACAACTTCCCTATCTCTTGCCTTCTCTCTGGCCCAAATGTGTCTGCTCACGCATGACCCAAGTACCTTATTAGATTAATGGTCTACTATTATAGTTATTCTCCTTTGAGAGTTGTCCCTGCTCCACTTAAATCAAGGTGCATCCCAGCACCTTTAATCGGACACTTTGACAGCAGTGCCCCCCTCTCGGACTGTGCATGTGCTCTGCCTGCCTCAAGTTGTCACTGTATAAATTGTGTATGCACAGTCTGGGCTCCTCAGTTGCTTCTCTATCATCCTCAGCCAGAGGAGGCGTGCATTGTTACATAGTTTGATTTAGTTTTCAGTTACAGTTGGATAGTTTTTGTTTCCAGTTTGTAGAACAAATGATGTAGATATTGGGATAGAGAGTACTCTTATTAAGTTTGCAGATGATACCAAACTGGGTGGGGTTGCAACTTCTTTGGAGGATAGGGACATAATTCAAAATGACCTTAGCAAGTTAGAGAAATGGTCAGAGGTAAACAGGATGAGGTTTAATAAGGAGAAATGCAGAGTGCTCCACTTAGGAAGGAACAATCAGTTCCATACATACAAGATGGGAAGCGACTGTCTAGGAAGGAGCATGGCGGAAAGGGATCTAGGGGTCATAGTGGACCACAAGTTGAATATGAGTCAACAGTGTGATGCTGTTGCAAAAAAAGCAAATATGATTTTAGGTTGTATCAACAGGTGTGTTGTAAGCAAAACTCGTGAAGTCATTCTGCCGCTCTACTCTGCACTAGTTAGGCCTCAGCTGGAGTACTGTGTCCAGTTCTGGGCGCCACATTTCAAGAAAGATGTGGAGAAATTGGAAAGGGTACAGAGAAGCGTGACAAGAATGATTAAAGGTCTAGAGAACATGACCTATGAAGCCAGGCTTCATGAACTGGGCTTGTTTAGTTTGGAAAAAAGAAGATTAAGGGGGGACATGATAGCGGTTTTCAAATATCTAAAAGGGTGTCACAAGGAGGAAGGAGAAAATTTGTTTCTCTTGGTTTCTGAGGACAGGACAAGGAGTAATGGGCTTAAAGTGAAGCAGGGGAGATTTCGATTGGACATTAGGAAAAAATTCCTAACTGTCAGGGTGGTCAAATATTGGAATAAATTGCCAAGGGAGGTGGTGGAATCTCCCTCTCTGGAGATATTTAAGAACAGGTTAGATAGACATCTGTCAGGGATGGTGTAGACGGAGCTTGGTCCTGCCTTGAGGGCGGGGGGCTGGACTCGATGACCTCTTGAGGTCCCTTCCAGTCCTATTATTCTATGAGTCTATGATCCTTCACCCCCTGCTTATTTGCTTTGATATGCCAGGCTCACCCAGATTCAAAAGGCTTTGTTCTTGCAGAGGGGCCATCCCTGTGGCCACACTGTGTGTTTGCTGCTTGGGGGAGTCCCATGTCCCCCCAAAATACCATTGTCAAAAAATTAAAAGGAGCAAGGACAGGGAGCCCCATCTTAAGCTCTTATTACTTCAGGACTCCCTCAAACCGGCGTTCTAACCTGATCCAACCCTAGGGGCAGAAACTCAACAGAGACATTCAAAAGCTCTACAGAATAGACCAGCTTTCTCTGCTACAGGTAGAGATAAGAAACAAAACCTTTCAGTTTTGTCAGTGCCAGCCACCCCGCAGCTGAGCACTTTTGACTCTGCAGCCACTTCTGGCACAGACTGTGGGTCAGGGGCCCCTTCAAAAGGTGCCAAGGCAAAGGGCTTCCAGCTGCCTGCCTCTCAGAATGTATCGATGGTCCCTGTAGTGACCCCAGTGCTGACCTCAGGCTACGTGTAGCCTATTGAAACAGCAGAAGTGGTGTTTTCCTTTGATCCTGCCGCCCGGTTCTTTCTGTGATGCTGCCAACACTACCGCCTTGCTCTTTACTGCAGCAGCACACAGCATGAAGTGACATGGCACTGACACTCTTCTCTGCTCTCAGTGCCAGTGCCACCTCTTTTGAACACGGCACCAAATTCTCACTGCACACTGGGACAGTCAGTGTGGTCTAATGTGACTCAGCAGCAGTTCCTCAGCCCTGCTGACATCACTCTCCTACTCTCCGGGATCTCCTCTCCTGGATTTGAGATCTCACCAGAGCCACAAGCTCAATATTACTAGTCCCCCATAACCCTCCCATACCTATCCAGCTGGGAGGAAGAAGACTTGGAGAACAAAACCCTCTCTCCACAAAGTTCCCCAGGAGAGAACTGGAACCCACACAGGCCAAACACATCTGCCAGACAATACCCATAGTATGCCTCGTCTCTCCCACCCCCAGATGGCACCACCCATACTATTCCTCGGCCAATGGCTGTACTAGGGCACATGGCACTACCACAGGCCGGGACATGCTAACTGTCCTGCCCCTTGGAGGCAAACCTACAAACCACCCCGACCAACAGCTCAAGTGGAGGTGGGCCTCACCACTGAACCTATACTGGACATACAAACAGAGATTGTAAGAGACCGGTCACCCACAGCCACTGGGGTACCTCCCTTGCCCCAGAAAGCCAAATTCCCCACCACATCCACAACTACTGATGAACGTACTTACTTTCAGGACCTCTTTAAGAAAGTAGTGAATGAGTTTAATATCACTTTAAAGGAAGTCTCAAACAACCAACACAAGCTCACAGACATATTGCAAGCTAATACCACTTCTATAATAGTACTCCCCACCAACACAGCCATCCTGCAGCCTGTGTAAATATGGCAGATGCCTGCTTCCATATTGGCGGATTGGACCAAAAGAAATCTGATACATTTCAACAAGGACAAGTACAGAGTTCTGTACTTGGGATGCAAGAATCCCAAGCACTGTTGTTACAGGCTGGGGACCAACTGCTAAGTAGCACTTCAGCAGAAAAAGGCCTGGAATTAGAGTAGATGAGAAGCTGGATGAGAGTCATTAGTGTGCCCTTGTACCCAAGAAGGCTAAGGGCATATTAGGGTGCATTAGGAGGAGCATTGCCAGCAGATCTAGAGAAGCGATTATTCCTCTTTATTTAGCACTGGTGAAGCCACATCTGGAGTATTGCTTCCAGTTCTGGGCCCCCCATTACAGAAAGAATTTGGGTGCACTGGAAAGAGTCCAGTGGAGAGCAACAAAAATGATTAAGGGGGCTGGAGCATATGATTTAAGAGGAGAGGTTGAGGGGTTGGTGCTTTAGTCTACAGAAGAGGAGAGTGAGGCATGGTTTGATAGCAGCCTTTAACTACCTGAAGGGAAGTTCCAAAGAGGATACAGAAAAGCTGTTCTTAGTAGTGACAAATGGCAGAATGAGGAGTAATGGTCTCAAGTTGCAGTGGAGAGGTCTAGGTTGGATATTAGGAAAAACTACTTTACTAGGACAGTGGTGAAGCATTGGAATGGGTTACCTAGGGAGATAGTTGAGTCTCAATCCCTAGAGGCTTTTTAGGTCCTGGCTTGACAAAGCTCTGGCTGGGGTGATTCTGTTGGGGTTAGTCCTACTTCGGGCAGGGGGTTGGACTGTGACCCCTTCCAAACCTATGATTCTATAACAC